AAAAAAAAAAAGAGCAAGAGAGAAACCAATAAAGTGTATAGTTCTCCAAATTTTGGTAAACACATAGTATCATTACTACTACCACATAATACAGAACTGTTTCCTCATCTCCTGGAGTCCCTGGTGCCCCCTTCTAACTCAACCCCTGGCAGGCGGTTATCTCTTTCCTGTTCCTGTCATTTTGCCTTGAGGGTGTCACTTAAAGGGAAGTACACAGTGTGCAGCCTCTGAGTCTGGCTCCCCACACTGGGCGTGATACATCTGAGACACACACCTTCTTTCTTACCTGAGTCATGTTCCGTTGTATGGACCCTTAACAAAATTCCAAAAGAAAAACTTAGAACAAAATCTTTTGTGTCTTAGGTTAGGCCAAGATTTCTTAGATATGATAACAAAAGCACCATCTATGAAAGCGCTGATAAAATGGACTTCATCAGCATTAAAAAAAATGAATAGACTGAAAGAAAATATTTGTGAATCATGTATCTGATAATGAATTTGCATCTAGAATACGTGAAAAGCTCTCAAAACTCATGAAAAAAATCCAATTTTTTAAAATGAGAAATCATTTGAACATTTTATCAAAAGAAGATACACAGATAGCAAATAAAAGATGCTCAATATCCTGAGCCATGAAAGGGGCAAATCTACATCACAGTGACACGGTGATTATGGCTGAGACACAACAGGCTGCCTGCAGCTAGTGCCCGGACGTGGAGCCAGGGGCCTGTGCAGAAGGCTGAGAGTGCAACCCGGGCAGCTGCTCTAGAACACAGCTGCGACCTCTCAGAAGGCTAAACACGCGCTCACAGCGTGAATCACCAATCCCACTCCCAGGTACTTAGTCAAGTGAAATGTTCACACAAAAACCTGCATGCAAAGTTCTAAAACCTAGAAACAACCCCTCAAATTCCTCAGCCGGGGACTGGATACACGCACTCTGGTACAGCCATGGAAGGGAACATGACTCAGGGGTAAGAAAGAAGGTGAACAACAAACGCGTGTCTCAGACACTTCACGCCCAGTGTGGGCGCCGGACTCAGAGGAAATGACAGGAACAGGAAAGAGATCGCCGCCTGCCAGGCATTGAGTTATAAGGGGGTACCAGGGACTCCAGGAGATGAGGAAGGAAACAGTTGTGTATAATGTGGTAGTAGTTATGACACTATGTGTTTACCAAAATTTGGAGAACCATACACTTTAAAAAGGGTAACTTACTGTATGCAAACCATACCTTAATAAAAAAAATCCACAAAGATGTTCGTTCACTAAAA